AGCAATCTCAATTATACATATACGTGTATGTACGAGTATGTGCATACACATGTTTATATGTATGTAGGAGTATGTTGGCAGTATCTCTCGGCGTCAATTTTAATTGGCATAATCTCTGTGGCTTACTAACTGACTAATGACCGTTTGACCGGCTTTCATTTTCCACGGCATCGTACAAATTTGCCTCTTTCTCGCCATCTTTCTCTCTCTCTCTCTCTCTTTCTCTATCACCCTGTGTGCAATCCTATTCACAGCTATAAGTACTTTTTCTTCTTTTTTGCACGCAACAAAATGCTTTAATAATATTTTTGACGATTAGGGTTTCAGCAAAAATTTCGAAATTTGTTCAACCGTTCAACAGATGAAATTCTTTTTTGTAATGGAAAAAAAACTTATCAGGAATGAGCTAGATGAACCATGGCGAATAATAAAAACTCGTCACGGAAAATGAATATGTTCAGATATCTACATCGCTATGAAGGTGTGAAAGTCAGCTTCATAATTTGGCGGCAATTAAAAACCCTTAAGTCAAGCAGTATCAATCTTCACGCAATATGCAATCTCTTTCTCTGGTTTCCCCGGTGAGTAAAGTACCGCAAATTTTCTACGCTAGAGTGTTTCATTCATTCAGCCTACGTGACCTAGCAGAGAGCAGCCGCTGTAATATACCTCGCATAGCTCATGGCTCCATCGTCTATGGTATTTGCAGGTCAGAAGAAAAATCGCAAACCTTTTTGCAGTCTTTGACTATGCCAACAATATCCGACATATGTAAAAAAGGCGGAGGGATGACGTTCCAAAAACGAGGGTAATCTACTAAGTAGAGTGAATCATTCGGCCGTTACTCTCCCTATTAGCGAGGATCGTTTCGGAGGTACTGCTCTTGGTTTCCACTCACCATCTGAGCTTACCACAAAATCGGATTGGCTTCCACAAAATGCACAACACCACAACCACCCTTAGCGCCCTAAGCACCCAGATAGATTATGACCTTAACCAAGAACAACTCCGTTCGCGAGCTGTCCTGATAGTATTGGATCTGTTAAAAGTCGTTAACGTGCTTAGCCACGTGGTGCTACTTGCGAACATTAAGGGACCCTGTGCAACGCTGGGCTTGAAGAGGGGGGCTTTTAACTATCGAGGTGCTCTACAGTCAGATGCAGAATTTCGATGCCAAACTCACTACTCCAAAAGGAACCATACACGTAATTCCGCAGGAAGTGGTCACCTGGTAACAACTAAGTAAATTTTATATTTCGAAACATCTTTACCAGCAAAGAGCATTTTCTTGATTTCGTTTTCCTGATATCTGTTAAATCTGACGACGTAAAAGTTCCAGCAACACAACCAACAGTCCAAAGCAATACTCACACTTTGCTCCTTCACACAACATAAGATTGCGATTGAGACATGGAAACGTTGCTGGGAAATTGAAAGTCGATAATAGTCGGTCAGAATACCGCCCTGAGGATCGTAACGGGATTTTAATGCAATCTATACCCACTTACATAGTGGAAAATCTACTCGTATGGTAACAGTTAATATTGTGCTGTGTATAGAACAGCGAGATGGAAAGACTTATCGAGAGGCCCTCAAGGGTATTGAAGCCATCATGTATAGTATAACAAACGAAGAATTCGAGCTGTCTCGCGGATTGGAGTAATACCGGCTCAATTTAAGATTGGTTACTGTAGTAGAAACAACTCCCACCTTTCCAGACTTAACACCGGTACACTCATAGACTCAACACGATCTTAACCTCTTCTTCGCATGCTCTCTAATATCCACTCATCTAACACACTTCTCCCTCTGATCATAACCATTCCACTAATTCACCTTAACTATATAGACCAAATTTTTGAAAAGAAAATATCTAGTCTAAGGTGAATTTACTAAGAGTAAAGCGACACTGTTAAGATGTGATCAATTCGTCAACGGTGAACTTGGATTTTTCACACAATATGTGCTTTTCAGGAAACTTATCCCACGCTAATTGGCATGGCTTCAACAACGCCACTGTTGATCTGCTTTCTTCAGACTAAATGAGGATGCGAAGTGACTGGGTCTCAACACTGTCAGCCTTGAAATCCTTTGAACTCTGGTAGCAGTAGATAAGTGAAAAGTAAAGTCCTCTCCCGACGCACAAAGGCCGAACTCTATAATTTATGTTCATTTGCTCATTGGTTACGTCGAATAACGCAAACGATGGAATGATGCGCTGTGCGAGATATTCTTTGACGTTGATATAGTTACAATATGAAAGCCAAGAAATAGCGGCTACGCTTGCTATGTTTGTCGTCCAGATGAATGAAATGCGCTCAAACTTTAAAATTTTACAATGCAGTAAACGCCGGCGAAAGCGGAGGAAGAGGAAAGGATAAAGTGAAGAGCGACTAGGTTTTTGGTATTTCCAACGTGCCCCAAACAACCAACGCAAAGAAATTATGGATGGTGCACTATTCTTGATTCGGCTAAAACACGCAAGCTTTACCTACGCCATTGAAGAAGAAGAAGAAGGATCTAGATAAAACCACCAGCTAACTTCCGAGTAAAACGTACTTAGTCCACGGTTCATATGTTTTTATACACAAAGATAAAGCCGTTAATTTAAACCAAGTCCTTACATAAATTGTCTTTTTTCAAATAGAATCACTTAATGAAACAAAAAATAGTTTTAAGCTAGTCTAACAGGTGCCTCCCCGGCCTACTTCCCAGAATAAAAATGGCTTAGAACCATTCTCGAATCCACCTGAATATGCACAGAAAATTCTATCAAAAGGGGTACAATGACAAACATACTTAAAATTTTTATGTGCAAAAAAAGTTCTGTGAAATAATTATTTTTAAAAATGAATATTGAGCCGAATGCCCTGGTCACAAGTTAATTTTTCTCTGTAAAATAATAATTGGATTATCATTTCGTTATCATTTATAATAAAAAAAAAGAAATAAATAAATAAATAGGAAAAAAGAAAAAAATAAATAAATTAATAAAAAAATATAAATTAATAAATAAGTACATAAATAAATAAAGAAATAAATTAATAAAGAAATACATAAGAAAATATAAACATATACAACATATATAAATATATATTTAATATAAATAATATAAATAAATAAACAAATAAATATATAAATAAATAAAATATTGGGTAGATAAATAAATAAATAGATGGAAAAGTAAATAGAAATATAAATAAATAAATTGATAATTAAATAACAAATGGATAAATAAATAAATATAAGAATAAATAAATAAATAAATAGATAAAAAAGTAAATAAATAGATAAGTAAATAAATATATAGATAAATAAACAAAAAAATGTACAAATAAATAAGTATATAAATAAAGTAAATAAGAAATATAAATTAATTTAAAAAAATAATAAGATGAATAAATAAATAATAAAATAACTAAATAAATAAACAAACAAATATATTAATAGATAAATAAATGAATAAATAATTAAATAAATAAATAAATATGTAAATAGATAAATAAATAATTAAATAAATGAAAAGATAATTAATTAAATATATAATTAAATAAATAAATAAATAAATAAATAATTAAATAGATTAACAAGTAAATAAATAGATAAGTAAATAAATATAGAGATAAATAAATAAATAAATATCCAAATAAATAATTATATAAATAAAGTAAATAAAAATTATAAATTAATTTAAAAAAATAATTAAATAAATAAATAAACAACGAAATAGATAAATAAATAAATAGAAAAAGAATTAAATAAATAAACAAATAAATATATATAAAGAAGTAAATAAAAGAATAAGTAAATAAAAATAAAAATAAACAAATAAATACAATATATTAATATATAATTAAATAAATAAATAAGTACATAAATAAATAAATAAATAAATTAATAAAGAAATGCATAAATAAATATAAATAATATATATATATATATATAAATAATTAAGTATACAAATAAAGAAGTAAATAAATGGATACATGAATAATTAATAAATTAAATAAATAAACAAATAAATATATAAATAAATAAATAATTAAAACATTAGGTAAATAAATAAATAAATAGATGGATAAATAAATAGAAAAATAATTAAATAAATAAATTGATAATTAAATAAAAAATAGATAAATAAATAAATAGACAAATAAATAAATGTATGAATAAATAAATAAAAAAATAACTAAATAAATAAACAAACAAATAAATCAATAGATAAATAAATGAATAAATGAATAAATATATAAATAGATAAAAAAATAATTAAATGAATGAAGAGATAAGTAATTAAATATATATATAAATAAATAAATAGATATATAATTAGATAAATAAATAAATAGATAAACAAGTAAATAAATATATAGATAAATAAATAAATAAATATATTAATAAATAAATACATAAATAAAGTAAACAAAAAATATAAATTAATTAAAAATATAATTAAATAAACAAATAAACAATGAAATAGATAAATAAATAAATAGATAAAGAATTAAATAAATAAACAAATAAATATATTAATAAGTCAATAAATAAATGAATAAATAAATAAATAAGTGAATAATTAAATGAATAAAAATAGAAAAAAGAACTAAAGTTAAAGTCCGCTTGGTATTACCCCACTCAATTTCCTTAATTTTAGTGGAATGATGCTCTTAAATTAAAGAAAGAAAAATGCACATCATGCTTGGTGATGGAATAAATTTTAGGATTTTCTTATTTTCGAGATGACGAAGCAGTTTTAGGTGAGCTTGTCCACTAAAATAATGTTTTTGCCAAGTTGTAACGCATTTGACAGCGACTATAAAATATCGCTGTCAACAGCTTTGAAGCAACAGTAGCTGCCAGCAATAGCGAGTATTAACACACAGTTATTGATAACTGTCTTTTTAGTCGTAAAACAGCAACACTGACATTGCGATAAGTTTGCGCTGTCTTAAAAATACATAACCTTAACGCTAATAAAATCCACATAACAGTTTCTAACTATGGGTCAACGGGGAGTTCTTGTCGCGTGGCTGCTCGTCGGTTGCTTGTACATGCTTGGCAGTGAGGCTAAAACACTTGAACCGATTGACTATCAGGTACTTAAAAGTTTAAGCACGCATTTAACGGTGAATATATCTTTCAAATTTCGTGTTTAACACAAACATGTTATTAACATTGCATTTAGGGTGATCTCTTTATGGGCTTAAAAAATCAGCAGCTTCATAAACGATATCAAAGCAACGAGCCAAGTGAATTGAATTCGGTGCAAGGGAAAAGTGATAACGCTGATATATTTGATGAATTGCAAGTGGATGTTTATGAGAATTTACTACGTTTGGTGAAAGGTTGGTAACAATGCACTTCGCACATATACACATATACATATTTAATATTAGTTTCGGTTTGTAATAATAACATACATATTTACAGATATGCAAAAGGAACGTGAACGCTTATCGATACGTTATAAGCCGAATTTGGGTAAACGATCGCAGTTGTACCAATAAAACTAATTTTCATTGCCGTTAAAAAAATTGCCAAATTATTGATGATTCTATAACTCTTCGAAGTTAGTTAATTAATCGTGATCTTAGCACATGCAAATTACATATATATTTTTAATAAGTACCAGTTAGTCCTAAAAATTTAAAAAAGGATAAAAAACAAATAATTTACAACTTACGCTTTTGTCCATACTGTATTCATAATATTAATTACAATGAATGTTTTTTAATAAAATAAATATTTACATATATATATCGTCTCTGTTCGCACGCAAAAAAGTGCTTAAATTTCAACCACAACAACGCTTTTGCGCCATATAGCAGGGTGAGAATGACGAGTGACTTGTAGAGCGAGAGAGAGAGAGAGAGAGAGAGAGAGAGAGAGAGGGGACTTTAGCTGGACACTCTTCTGGAAGATTGTACCTTCCCATTTCAGCTCTGCCACTCTTATTATTTTCTCCAGAAATAAGTTAAAAACGTCACACGATAAAGGGTCACCTTGTCTGAAACTTCATTTGGTAACGAACGGCTCGGAGAGGTCCTTCCCAATTCTGACTGCGCTTCTGGTGTTATCTAGCGTCAGCTTACACAGCCGTTTAAGTTTTGCGGGGATACCAAATTCAGACATAGCCGAGTAAAGGCAGCTCCTATTCGTGCTATCGAAGGCGTCTTTAAAATCGACGAAGAGGTGGTGGGTGTCGATGCTCTTTTCCAGGTTTTTTTCCAAGATTTGACGCATGGTGAAAATCTGTTCAATGATTGAATCACCAGGTCTGAAGCCACACTGATAAGGTTCAATCAGTTTGTTGACGGTGGGCTTCAGTCTTTTTCACAATATGCTCGGCAGGACCTTATAGGCGATATTAAGGAGGTTTATCCCACGGTAAATAGCGGAGACTGTAGGGTCTCCTTTTTTATGGGTTGGGCAGAGCACACTTAAATTCCAATCGTCGGGCCTGCTTTCGTCCGAACATATTCTTCACCGGTATGCCGTCTGTTCCCGCTGCTTTGTTGTTTTTTAAGCGGACGATTGCTATTCAAACTTCTTCATGGTCAGGTAACGGAACGTCTTTTTCGATTGGGGTTCAGGGTTCACCATATTCGGATTCTTCATTTTCACTACTATTCACCAGGTTGGAGAAGTGTTCCCTCCATCAGTGGCTAGATCACCTCTTTGTATCCTACAAGAGCCTGCTTCTCAAGCTCTTAATACTCACGCATATCTTCTTTTCTTGTCTGCATATACGCCTTGCTTCCCTCTTCATCTCTCGGTATCTATCCCATCCCTCACGTGTTGTGGTCGATCGAAAGGTTTCGGGGTAAGCAGTCTGTTTTTTCTCCACTGCGACACTGCAGTCCTCATCGTACCAGCTGTTTTTGTGACTTTTACGAAATCCAATAGTTTCGCTTGCAGCTGTACGTAAAGAGCTTCAAATGTCGTCCCACCGGTCCCGTATACCAAGTTGCCGAAGAGTGCTCTCAGAGAGCAGAAGTGCAAGTCGTTCGGCAGTCTGTTGTGATTGCAGCTTTTTAACGTCGAACGTTCCTTGTGTTTGTTGGCGGGCATTCTTCGATACACAGAGACGCATGTGTATCTTCGCTGGAACAAGATTGTGGTTCGCGTCGATGTTGGGTCCTGAGAGTGTACGCACGCCAAGAACACTGAAGACATATCTTCCATCTATCACAACATGATCGATCCGGTGTTGTGTTTTTCGATCAGGGAACAACCAAGTAGCTTGGTGAATTTTTTGTGCTGGAATCTAGTGCTACAGATAACCATATTTGGGGCCCCGGTGAACTCGACCAACCTCAACCTATAAGGAGATGTTTTGTTGTGAAGGCTGAATTTTCCAACAGTTGTACTAAAGATATCTGCTTTAGCCACCCTGGCATTAAAATCCTCAGCGCTCGTAAGTATTCTCTAGGCGCTCATAAAAAACATCTTTGGCCAAATCGTCCTTCCCTTCGGTCGGGGCGTGTATAACTACACTGACATGAAATAAGAGCTCTTCATAGAAATCAATGTTCTGTTGGGAGGCGGCTTAAATAGAAAATCATCAAGAGTCATACCACAAATTGGAGGAGCAGTTACAAAGCACCAATGAAATTAATACTGCAATTAACATTGCAAATAACTATTGAGTCTTTATGCGAACCAAATGTTAATGAGTTTATGTGAAATGCAGAAACTACGTTGCAACCCCAATCACTACAGATACTACAATTATTTGCTGACAACATAAATAACTTTGCTGTCGTGCATATAAATATATTTGTAAAATCATCTAGTTGCACATACGATGGTATACATATGTATTGGGTATTTTAGTGTGATCAGCTTATTTTAGATTTAATCAGTTTATAGACTCATAAGCGTTTAATTATCCAATCACACGTGGTGTGTGGTATGTGTGTGTGTGCACCTATTAGCTACATGTGTGGAAGCTTCAAAATGCGTGTCTTATACAACCAAACCAATGCCTGAGCTGTTAAATCTGCGCAAAAAAAGGGGTTAAAGCGCATAACAACGGTACAATACTCAGCGGTATATGCTGTGTCCTGCAGTTTATGTGCGGATAAATATAGATCGTTTAAGTTGTTGGGCTAACAATTGGCGATGTGTATGTGTAGGTAGCTTTGTTTATACAATACATATGTGTGTCCATAAGCCATGTTGTCACTTTGCGCCAGAGGCAATTTTTCATTCACACACTCTTCATATACACCCCTTCGTCTACTTCTTCTTTTGCTCCTACCTTCACCTCTACTTCTTTTCTCTCTGCGGCAATTTGCTTTCGGCTAAAGGATATCCTGCGGTGCGTTTTAACACATCATCGACAAATTGACATTAATCACTATTGTTTGTGGGATATTTAGTGCTGTTATTGTTGCTGTTGTCGCGAACAACATGTAGTGACTACTGATTGATCTGTTTGTTAAAATGCAAATCACACACACACAAACTGGCGGTGGATCCACTCGTTTTAAACTCGCCTTTCGTTCGCAGCTATATAAACACGCTGCTGTCGTTTAGCTGAGGACAGTTATCGCTGTCGATTGGCCGTGAGTGTGTACGAGATTTGTAAAGAGAAAGCCTGCAGTATAACTTCTTCGCAGTGCTATTATTGTTTATATTTCATTTGAGTAATTAAACAAATCCACATATAAAATGGCGTGCATAAGGATTTTCACATTGCTCTTGATCGCCGTTACGTATTATGTTCTGTGCAGTTGCAAATTTTTGGCAAGAAATAATTTCCAGGTGGGTACTGGTTCCAAGCGCTTATGACAAAGAAAAGAAAAAAAGAAAAAAATACCAACCCGTGTGAAGCTTTGTATCACGGCTATAAGAGAGAGAGCTTTAGCGTACTACACCTTCGGTTCGAGGGTTTATTGCAGTTCAAATGCTGAGCAGCGGTGCGAAAGCGAGAGGACGTCTGTCTTGAAGCAAGTGGTTTTCTTTGCAAATATGTTTTAAGTCATACCTACTCCAATGCAGCTTGGCGCCCGTTACCTAAAAATCAGCTAAAATGAAAAGGTTAACACAGCTTTCCTTAGATGAGAACTTTAAACCTTGATGACGACCGGAGCATACGTAGAATACGGAGCATTAAATCAGGGTCAAATAGGTTTGGATATATGGTAGAAAAGAGGCTCCGGCGCATGATTTATATAAGGTTCGAATATTTTTTTGCCACATCGCTGATGCATAACCCGACAAAAGGGAAGTACCATGTGTCCAAAGATACTTTACCCTCACCTTTCTGTTAAAATCATGTGTCAGTGCCAGTGTTTTTCTACTTCCTAGTCCAAATATCAACTCAAGTCACTTGTTTTGATTTGTAACAACTTTTAGACAATAAAGAACGTTTGCCAAAAAGCGCATGGAAAGTTGGATGTCACTAAACTGCAGCCTCAACAGACAACCGGATCAATTTCTTTTCGATTGTACTCCCTGTTCTATGAGAGCGCTCTTTAACCACTCGCCATAAGCGAAATTTGAAATGGAATCCTCAGCTCTCTGCGTATATTCGCAAATGAAACTGTTCATTTTAGACAAGGTGGAGCATAAATCTACCTCAATAGACATTGTCAAGCTTAGTGAGCTAAAATTAAAATATAAATATCAAATTTCACCGGCCGACAAATCACACCAAACGTTGGATCTTCTTGACTGGGAACTTTTCAAGAGGCGATAGAGCGAAGCGAAGGTCGATCGGCTTCAGTTTTTACAAGCTGTTTTTTGAACGCTTTCAATTTTTGATTTAAATGCAAAATATGCCAAGTCGTTCCCGTCCGAGTCCAAGCTGGTGCGAATCGACTCTCTACGGTCTTCGTGTACTCTCTCTGCCAAGGTCACTATTTTCACACTTCACTGCGTACTGGACGTGGTCTATTCGGTCGAATATTATCCACTAATAAATGCTGGGTCCCAAGGTGGATGATGGTGTTGTGAATATTACGCTCAGCCTCAAGCCTGATATTTTTAAATATCTGTAATTTTAGGGCTCTTACAACTAGAAAAATATGCTAACAAAATCTACCAATACTAATAGACTTTGCTTTTTCCTATAATGAGTTGTGTGTTTGTACTTATACATTTCGTACATTTTCAGCTGAAGGATCATTCGAGCTTATTTCGTCAATCGAGTGCCGCTCTTCACCGCCAACAGCATGCGGCATTCACAAGGGGAAACATTCAGCAAACATTACGTGAGAAACGTTCACAGAAATATGACAACTTTATTGAACAACCCAGCGCCGTGATGGATTTGGCGCCACGCCTCAGCAGTTTCGATCGAATACCGTTTAATGACTATAATCGTATAGTGAGCGCGTTGAAAGGTTCAATGAAACACACTCCGTTACGTTCCTTGGAATAATTACTGCTAATACTCTCTCTCTCTATCTCTGTCTCTTTCTCTCTGTCTCTCTCTTCTTTTATCTATCTTGTAGAAATGCTGCGTGTAAATGAAGAAAAATCCGTTATGTTGCGCCCACGACCCGGTCGTCGTGCTTTGGATGGTGATTCCCCAATCTTGCAATATTTTATAGACGACACTGGCAATTTGGGTATTGGCTCCTCTGATATTGTTGCTGTTGTGGGCGAAGATGATGACGGACTGACGGATACGTCATTGAAAAAGTCGGCGCCATTTAAACCACGACTTGGTAAACGCCGCGGAAACCAAATATGCGTATGAATTGTTGTTTTTGACCCTGACCATATATGTATAGTATATTAATAGAGAGGACCAGCTGAGGTCGTGGGTACAGTGGGTGTGAGTGTTTGGTCGATGGCACACGTATAGTTGTACTATCTCTTACACACTAATATACATACATATACATAATAGTAAATGTATGTGTGTGGGTGTGCTACATAAATATTTTGCTTGTTTGTTTTGATTGTGCGCGGTTGTATGTGTGTGGCTCTAACGGTTTTGTTAGTTTGTGAAGGTTAACGTTGGCGAATTGTAAACTGCCTAAATAAACCACCTAGCCATACACATGTGTGCATACCGTTAGTCTGCATAGAAATCTGCATGCAAATAATAAATGTTTAAATGACCTTTGATATCGCAATGAAAAATTTGAATGGAGATTCAAAAAAAAAAAAAAGAAAAATGATGGAAAAAGCGCAAAAACTGTGTTAAATTGTTGTGGTAGCGCAATTTAATTATATTTGTGGTTAATTAAAATATTTCGCCCTCGGAGGCCTCACTTTTCATTTATAATTGAAAATATAAATAATTGATATACAAATTGTGGTGAATAGAACTGTTATAAATGCAAAGAATACTAAATAGAAAATTAAAAAAAAAATGTATTTATTTCATTTAAGGAATATCTGAAAATTGAGCAAAAATATTTTTAATATTTTATATAAAGAATAAAGAGAAGAGCCAAGAAGGATTTGTATGTATATATGTATGCAACTATAAGAATGTTTTTGAAAAAAAAAAAATTTTAAAAACTAAGCTTCTCAAAAATCTTCGAAATACTTTTATTAAAAAAATATTACCGATTTTAGAATCGAAACAGACCATACCATGCCCACAATTCGGGCTTAGAAAATAACACAGCACAATAGAGCAGGTGCATAGAATCTTAGCACACATAAGATCAGTGTTTGAAAACAAGCAATATTGTACTGCAGTGTTCCTCGATGTTGCTCAGGCATTTGGTAAAGTTTGGTTAGACGGTCAGTTACACAAGCTGAAAGGTACGCTTCTCCAAAAAATTTATGAGGTCTTAGAAAGCTTTCTTATTGGCAGAAAATTTCGTGGTATGCAAAAAAGTTATACCACTGAATCCTATGAAATATTTGCTGGTGTTCCACAAGGAAGTGTTGTTGAGCCCGTCTCAAATTTAATTTATACGAACGATCTTCCCATAAACCGAAATCTCATCACATCAACTTTTGCGGATGATACAGCAATACTTAGTGTCCATTCAAACCCCATGGTAGCCAGTTACCGATTACAATAACATTTAAAAGTAATAGAAGAGTGGCTAACAACTTGGAGAATTAGGTTCCAAAAGGAAAGATTTAATAAAACATTATAAAAAAACTTAAGCTACTTAAGATATAAGATCTCAACAAGACGGAGGGGCTGTCCTCGGTCGAAATACCTTTCAGGACCATTTCAAATTTATGGTATTTAGGTTCAAGTTTAAGCATTAATTCCCATATCTGAAAAATTGGGTGGAGAGAAGCTTCCCGATTTCCAGATTTCCAATGAGAGGTGTTATTTTGAAGCAGGCTTTCCGGTAATAAAAAAGGGTCGGTTCACGCTTTAAAAAGTGAAATTATGGTGGAAACCTGGCAAAGACGGTTCGTGAAATTGAAACACTTGACGAACCGCAATGCAGAAATTGATAAACAAAAATGGAGCTGTAACCCCTTAATATAGGTCTTGAAACTTCAAAAAATAAATTTTTCATAATTTTTTGTATAAAAGTACAAAGTGTCAGGAATATTTTCCCCAAGTTTCAGGTCGATCAAGACGAGACTGTAGAAATTAGATAGTTTTATAACCCACCACCGTCTTTGTCCTGGCTTGACCGATGGCGAAATTTTTAAGCGCGTTTTTCTTAAAAGAACTTTATCGAAATCGGTAGTCGAAATTTCTCAACGACTATTGAAGCGATCGAGTTCAAAATTTCCATACTTGTTTTAAGCATGTTTTTGTAGTCTCTGAACGAAGGACTTTTATATGAAACAAAGTAAATTGTATTCTTTATTTAGTATCTTTTAAAAAAAATAGAGAAAATAAGCTTTTTTTTTTGGCGTTCAAGACCTATGTAACCTCTAAAGACTAGTAAGCGATGTTTATTCTTCACAGACGTGCACTTCGTTCAAGAACAACTGAGAGTATTACTGCTATTGACTAAGTTAATTTCAACGAAAAGTCATCTTGACTGAGATTTTTACCTCGATGTCTACATTAATAAGCAAAACTCTCTAATCTGGAGCTCGAAAAGCCTCTCCATCCTCAACGTATACATGTTTGGTGTGGTTTATAGTTCGGCGGGGTCAATGAATTCTACTTTTTTCGAAAATGTAGCTGGAGCAACGGTCACAGCGAAGGGATTGCGCTACCGAGAAATGATTAATGATATTTTATGGGGAGGATGGTATGGTATCGATCTGGACGACGTTTAATTTCTACAAGACGGCACTACGTGACACAAGCAAAAAAAAACTATCAATCGAAAATTTCCCGAAGAGTATTACCTCGGGAAAATTATTGCAATTGGCCTTCGAGATCTTGTGATTTAACCTTTCCTTTGTAACCAACTTGTTGAAACCACGCGTTTGGGTCGTAAAGCTCCGAATCGGCAGTGACCGTCTTGGGTGGTTGTCGTTAAGATCCAACGGTGGCTGCGGTGGCTGAGCAGTTAGCATTGCGTACTGGCATTTGGAAGGCTCGGGTTCAAGTCTTGGTGTCATATAACATTTAAAAAGTTATGGAAAATTAATTTAAATAAAAAAAATTCAAAAAAATTGTCTAATTGCGGTCATCCCATCAACATCCGCCGACGTAAAACCTCAGATTAAAGGAGGACCTAACCGAAGAGTGCATCTGAGAGTAAGTTCCATGGGTGTAATGACCTCTCTCAGTTACATGAGGAGCCCACAATGCGAGAATTTCGCCTGCTTAAGTATTCTCCAAGTGAAAAATGTGCCTCATTGCTGACTTTTTTTTTTTTAATCGTCGTCCATCAAATTAATTCAAATACTCGGTCGTTGTATGTACGGTGTTTGGGAAGGCCAATTGGCTTCAATAGTGCCATAAAAAAGACCCAGCTCATAAGAACGTCGAAAAAGAAACATACTCGGATCTCCGGCTACATTCCCACTTGCAGTAGCGATATTTGAGCTGGAACGATAAAAACGATGTTGCACATGCCTTACAATATCTGTAACGAATCCAGTCACTTCAAATTTTTTTCAAAATTTTATCAATATCTTGGGTAGTCGGAGGACTAATCAAGAAACTTTTTGATTTTTCACTTATTCGAAACTCCTTCGTCCCTTTAAGCTGACGCCCACAATTAGTGCTTGAAAGCCAGGGCTTAAGGAATTTTTCGGTATTCAAGAAAATCGCGTCTGTCCATTTCGAATATTTTACAAAAGTAACTCGTTAGATACTGCCTTTGATAGTCTGACTTCCCGTTGATTTCACTATATATTACCATGCAAAACTACATGGAGCAAAAGCAAAAGGCTTCCTATTGCCTGCCAGCACGAAAATGAATATTTTCCAGCCAATCATGACGACTCAATTACCAACAGTGCCATTGAGGTGAATTATTTGCAATGAATTATTTAAAATTCAATTAGACTTTGCTACCATAGAGAATACAAAAAAAAAGTAAAAAAAATACCCACACACAGTGGTATTATCTGCCCCCTACAACAACCAACACGCCTACGCAAAAAAAAACATAAGCAAACAGACAACGAAAGCTGCGAAATGAATTTATTATAACAAAAGCAGATAAGTAAAATGTGGACGGGTCACCTACGCAGGATTTGTGGGCATTTAAATGGCTGCTGTGTGGCGCGCTAAAGCAGAGAGGTTAATTTTTCGAAAGCAAAGCTCAAACAGTCAAGCTTTACGGTATGAGATGGGCGGAAGAAAAAGCGAATTAAGTGAATGGCGAAGAGCAAAAAAGGGTTAAATGGCAAATTTGTATGCATGTAGACATGTCAAACATCTGTGAAAGATACAACAGGTGGACAATGTTAATCGTGAGTAGGAATTGTCACAACAAGGCTCAATCGTATGCCTTCAATTAATGGTGGGTGTATTCATCCATATGCTCTATGTTGTACCTTGAAGGGAAGGCGAAGCAAGGGCTTTGAAAAGCATAAAAGTCGAAAAGAAAATCGTAAAATTATACTCTTAATTGATACTCTTAAAGCAGAAGAATTCTAGTTAGAGGAAGCACTCCCAATGCCCGAGCAACATACAGAATTATAAAAAATTGCGATAAAGTCAAGCTTCCAATTGTATTTCTGACATGAAATAAGAGCTTCTTATAAAAATCCCTTGGCTGCTTTGAATAAACTGTAGGTCCATCTATTTGTGCAAAAAACATCTAGATGCATTGTTATTTTTTTTGAACTAATTGAACTGGAATATAACTAGTTTAAAGCTAACGCATAATCGGATAATTGACAGTACATCGCCGTGCCAAAAATACCAGTTGTTTACATATCAAATAGGTGGAAGATGAACTAATGGAATTCTAGTTAATTAGTATTTTTCCCTACAGGGACTTCTTGCTGAGTTGGACATTCATGTAAGGTTACATATATGCCTGACACATATGAATAATAAGAACTGAACCATTCAGGGTAAATTGATTGATCTATTATTTGTGTTTTGTTGACTCATGTCACCCTCTTCCAAAAAAAGAAGTTGAAAGCGGAAAATTCTATTACATTTCCTTTCTCCGTTGCTGATTGTGCGTTAAAGATTTAGCAGCCAGAAATGAATGGAAGAGGGTGTGTCACAATTTGAGTGGGTGTAGCACTAACTTATGTATATAAAACTGGTTTTTCGCTTTATAAATAAATCAAAAGAGAAAGACGTCCACGCTGTTGGAAGAATAACGTAGAGAGCTATCTTGCCTTCCTTGGTATTTCCGATCAGCGCTAAACACCAAAAGGAAGAAGCGAGTAGGTCTGGAGCCACATAATAGTCCCGATAAGGCCTTCCATGCGATATTGGGGAAACTTTTCCACGGTAATCGCCGTAATTTGTAGAGTCCTCTTTTTGTGTTTGTAACAATGCGTTTTGCTCACCGTGGAATTTATCAACTAAACACGCCGTTTACAGTGCTGGGTTTGGGACTTCTTCAAAATTAATTTATTTTTAATAAAGTTTATAAATTATTTTCTGCATTAAAAGCACCCTCTGTGATTGGATAGTGGATCCGAACCACAGCATCATGCCGGCGCATTTCTCAATTGATATGGCTGCTGGTCTGGTCCTTTTGGATCCACTCACAATGATTTTCTAAAGTTTTGGAGTTCTCAGCAGACCTTACTTTTTGTAAGCATGAGGTGGTGTGGATTCTTCTAGCATTTCACTAGGATTGTCGTATGTTTGGTATTGAGAACAGGTTCGCCTGTAATTGCGTGCTTACTTATTGACTTACTTACTTTACTGGCCTAGACACAGCGTACGCGATTATGGCCGATTTAATAACGTAGCGCCATTCGTTTCTTCTTTTTACTGTTATACCAAGTACAGCCAGGTCCTTCTCTATCTGGTCTTTTAAACAGAGCGGAGGTCTTCCCCTCCCTCTGCTTCCACCGGCGGGTGCTGTATCGAAAACTTTCTAAACTGGAGTATTCGCATCCATCCGGACCACATGATTTAGCCAGCCTGGCCGCTTCTTCTTGATTCGCTAAACTAAATCAATGTCACCGTAGAACTCGTACGGCTCATCGTTCTATCGTCTACGATATTCGCCATTATCTTTCTCTCGAAGGCTCCTAAAGCCGACTCATCAACACTTTTGCACCATTTAGTAGAACGGGTATGATGAGCGACTTGTAGAGTTTAGTTTTCGTTCGTCGGAAGAGGAGTTTACTTTCAATTGCCTACTCAGTACAGAATAGAGCCTGTCGGCAAAAGTTATTCTGCGCTGGATTTCAAGGCTGACATTGTTCTTGGTGTTAATGCTGGTTCCTTGATAGACGAAATTATCTACGAATTCAAAGTTATGACTGCCAACAGTGACGTGGGAGCAAAGTCGCGTATACGATGACTTTGTGTGTGATGCTAGGAGATATTTCGTCTTGCCCTAGTTCACTACCAAACCCATATCCCACCCATATTCTTCATTTCCTTAGTCTGGAGAAAGCAGAACTCACGAAGCGATTGTTAAGGCCAATGGTATCAATGTCATCGACGTACGCCAGCAGCTGTACACTCATTTAGAAGATTATACCTTCTATATTAAGCTCTGCAGCTAGTATTATTTTCTCCAGCAATAAGTTGAAAACAGTCGCATGATAAGGTATCACTCTGTCTGAAACCTCATTTGGTTAAGTGCTTAGTTTCTCCAAAAGCAGGGCTGCTGGTTTAAGCCGCTTGACAGAGATTTGGTTGGATGGGCGCAGTATTTTCGGCAGTTCCTATCCCTTGCAGGTACTAAGAAGATCTTGTCGGCTTGGCTTCTGTGAGGGATGGCTAGGGATTGCTTTTTCTTTGGGGTTACGCGATAACATATATAAGTCTGGAAGACCAAAGCGGTTTTGAAAAGCAGGCGTTGTGGTTCGTTTCAGCTTGATTGACGTGCTTTTTGAAGTCATATGGGATGATATTATATCACCCGACTTACAGGCTGCCATTTTATCTGCGCGGGGATCACAGACTGAATTCCGCTGATATTGGCTGGAGAAAAAGGAAGGGGAGGGGAATGACCGACTGCGCGAGAGCTACATATGATGTACCAGTTACCCGAGTGGTTAGCATTGCGTACTACGATTCGGAAGGAAGAAAATCAATTTGAAATAAAATAGTTAAGTCCATCTGCAGGGAATGTCAACCACTCCGAGCGTAATTCTGAAGCTCCATATAAAAGACCTCAGCCGTTCGGAGGCGACTTGGTATAAGCTGTTGGAAAAACATCAAGACGCAAAATCACAAATTAGAGGAGGAGCTACAGATTAAACTAGATCGATACGGTTTTAGTTGAAATTTCGCTATATATTTTAAATCTAACACATAAATGAACTTGGCTAAACTTGGCTAGAAGAGAGGTAAGTGGCCTGTAGAAGAGATCACCTCACCAACACTCTTCTCAGGAGTACAAGGAATGAGTAATAGATAAGTCTATAATCATGCAATAATGATATTGCAAGATTTCTTTTCTACTATTTTCCACATACGCTTTGTGCTACTCAGCTGTTTATCAGCATTTTCGCTTTGAAACTGACACCACCAGCATTACCATTACAGTTACTTTAGCACTAATTGGTTGTGATTGTCATTGCGTAAATAATGTCCTGCGGCGCTGTTAAACTACTCCGTTAAGGGCAGCAATACCACGGCGACTATGACGACGACTACGACTACGACTACCAGCCGGTTGGTGGCCAGTGTGACAAGCGAGCAACAAATTGACATTAATCACTATTGTTACCATGCTGTTGTTGTTACTTTTTATTTTTTCTTTGCTGCCACAGCTGTTTGCTACTGTTTTTTTCTTTTTGCTTTCAAAATGGTAGTTGCTGTTGTTGCTGTTATGCAGCACTATTGCCTTAAGCCCTGAAAAGTGGATTAACATATCAAGCAAGAAGATAAATTGTTAAAAAAACGGTTGTTTTTAACTGTATTCTGCAAAACAGAAATAAATAATTAATTGTGAGCAAAATAGAAAATTATCGACTCTGAAGTCTATAAAAATCCACGCAGACTTCGATACATTCATCAGTCGTTGCCAATAATTTATTGCGCTCACTTATTTCTAGCCGACTCCACTGAGTGTTTGCTTTCTGCGACATCTAGCAAGAGTGTAATTCGTCAAGCTTTCAAAAGCGTCTTAAAAGTTTTGTTGCCTAAGTTTTGTGCACGCGTGTGTGTGTGTGTAAGGGTGTGAATTTGCACTGCTCTTCTTTACTTGCCATGAGCAATTTAAGCGTGTTCAGTCTTCTCCTCATTTTTGCTGTTTCCTGTTATGTTCCGGGTAACACCGAGGAAGCGATTGGGAAGCATGCTGACGATGATTTTCTGCAGGTGAGTGAGTATATCCTTGATTGAAACGGATATAACCAATTTCACTTTACTACACTTTATTTGCGCAGCTTTTGGGTATTTTTAGTAAGAGAACGCACGTTCGTTGGTTGTTGCATCTTTGCCGCAGCTATTCCAACGAATTTCCTTACAACATAAATGGGTTTAATATATGTATGTTAACCAATATTTATTGTTATCTGAAAAGAAAATTTATTTAAGAGTATTTCGATGGAAAATAATGTAATCTTGCTCGCAAAAACAATTTACTAACCAAGCCGCGTGGTTAGCATTGCTACTGTTATTTAAAGGATCAGGGCTAGAGTCCTGGTGCTACCATGAGACAAAATTATAGAAAATTAATTTTTCAAATAGCGGTCGCCATTTGGTAGTGTCAAGCCCTCCGAGTGTATTTGAAAGTTAAAAGGCTTTTTATAAAAATCCATCAGACGTTCGGGGGCGGCTGTAGGTCCCTAAATATGCTGAAAATCACAAATTGAAGGACGAGCTGGTGTGAAAATGACTTCAGGGAGATAACAATTGTATTATAAATAAGTTATCGGGAGGCAATTTTGTCTAAAAGTTGTAGTCGGAAGTTGTCCCATCCACGCAGATTTATATTTCCTCTTCAGCTTTTAGCTATGATCCTTACTTAGCTAATGAGTAAACAGGATAATTAATACTTTTGAGCGATCGACTACATAAGCAATTTGGTCAATATGGTTCCAATTTAATGGACATTTTTGCGAATAATCACAAGTAATGATCACGAGGGGATTTAAATTTACTAAATACTTTGGAATCAAGATTTTAACTTAAGGGTGTCGTATTAGGTCGCCTATTTTAAACTCATATAAGGTGCATTTCTTTAGACGTTCGACTTTTCCGATCTGTCCTTTTGGCAGTTGTTACTTGATTTAAACTCAGTTCAGATTATCATTTCTGAATAGATTTACTCCAGAATAGCATTTTCGAGTCCTGTAATTTCATTACCAAAATATTAGCTCGTTTCCTGTGACGCATCGGAGTTCAAATAGATCCGGTACGTCGATCAACCACGGTTCGCCTTGGCAGCACGTTTGCTCTAGTGGACGCCATATATTGCACACAAAATAAATGCTATGGCTGGTATGAAGCCGAGTATCAGACCTGAATGCGTTCATCCACTAACGCGCGCAAAATGGAGCTGGGCCCATTCCCATATGGTCAATCGGTGGACAAATTTTTGTGCGATAATGGATGTCGGCCGCGGTAGCCGAGTGGTAAGCAGTGAGTATTGCCATTCGGAAGGCCAGGTTCAAATCCAGGTACGACTAATATCCAGAAGTTACAGAAAATTAATTTAAGTAAAAATTTAAGTTAAATTTTCTAATTGAGATCGTCCCTCAGCAGGGAATGCCAGCCCCTCCGAGTGTACTTTAGAAAAGAAATAACGGCTGCTCATAAAAAATCAAGCAGTCATTCGGAGAGTGTCTTAGATCTAGTTTGAAAAACATCTAGACGCAAAACCACACATTGGAGGAAGAGCTCGGCTGAAAATCGCTTCAGTGGTTACACAGCGCGAATTATATATAAGGGATGTCGTTTGTAGGGAATTAAGAGTGCAATAAGAAAAAAAATCCAAAGGTAATAATAATTCGGGTTCAAGTTTGGGCTGTGAAACATCGTCGAGAACAATTTTTCCTTCAGGTGAATGCTCCCTTCCTTGTTTAAATAAACTATGCCACTAGTACATCATGATTTCTCCCGAAGAAAAGTAAGCCAATGAAATTTCATTCATTACGGTTAAAACCGAGTTTTCTTGATTGGTAAATCACATTCTTTTTCCAATTATGTTGCTTGGTTGACAATGAGCACACTTGAAAGCCGTTTTTCATACCGCTGCGGTGTTCTTCTCATCAACTCAGATGTACACACCTTTTCGCCTGCCTTATGATTTTTACGATATTGTCTATACCAGCAATTGCTACATCAGCCAGACAATCTATGAGTTGATGTCCTAGATTTCTTTTTTGCATAGTGATTAGGGCTGGAGAGTCCCAGAGGTAGTGCTCGACGAGCTCCTTGGGTACGCGGTCAGTTGCGGCTGGCCGAGAACTTGTTTAAAGCTCGTCTGCACATATGCACAACTTTTGATGTGATGAAATTGCGATGAAGAGATCTGAGGCCAACCAATGATGTATTTGGTTGACATAGTTGGTCATAGCCTACCCTTTTGTCGAGCTTGGAACCATCTATGGCGATGACTAATTAGAAATAATTGTATTTCTCCATTCATTACTGTTCGTAATGCAGGTTGAGGAGAGATTGCCAAAAGAGGAAGTAAAGTGTAAAATATCCTATTTAACGATACCTCCAAAGCTGAGATGTGCTCAGATTAAATGGGTTGCAGCTCACTTGAAATTAGTCTCACAGAAGTAGGAGATGAGGAATAGGAGGCATTTACGGAGTCGGCGGTAGAGCTCTCATTATGAGAATACATGCCGATCCCAGAACTTCTTCAGCCTGTGATTTTTTTCTAGTTCTGGCCAAAACCAAACAACGACCCGGTATCAAAAATTATCCCGAGATATTTGACTTTGGTGGAGACAGTGATGGGAGAAGAAGTTGTTTATATTGGATGAGTGCATAAGTTCGTGCCCGATTTCAAGTGCAAACTAAAATTGAAATTTTTTGAAGAAAGCGCTTTTATTAATCAATTATGTATTCGCCATCATAATCGGCAATTCACTCCCAACGTTCAACCAATTTACGGACGCCTGACTCATAGAAATCGCGCGGTTTCTCGTTGAAAAAGGTGTCAAGGTGGTCTTCCACATTTTTAAATTTTTTTCCATTCAAATTGTTCTGCAGCGATCGAAACAAATGATAATCAGAAGGTGCAATGTCGGGTGAATATGGGGGATGCGGTATGATTTCCCAATTCATCTCCTTCAGTTTGGTCAGGGTCGGTTTTGCAACATGTGGCCTGGCGTTGTCATGATGGAAAAGAACTCCTTTGCGATTGGTCAAACTCGGACGTTTTTCATCAATTGCATTCTTCAATTCGACCAATTGCTGACAATACTTGCTGGCAGTGATCGTTTCTCCAGCTGGCAAGAGCTCAAAATAGATCACGCCTCGGATATCCCACCAAATGCACAGCAGTACCTTCATCGGATGCAATCCACCTTTCGACATCGGTTCCGCCCCTTCGTGTGCCTGTTTCCATGTTCTTTTGCGTTGAACATTGTTGTACAGGATCCATATTTCATCACCAGTCACGAGCCGATCCAAAAACGGTTCGTTTTTCATCCGTCGAAGCAAAGAAATTGCTGTTGACATACGGTCCATTTTGTTTTTTTCACTCAACTGATGTGACACCCAAGTATCGAGCTTCAAAGTGTACCCAACCTTTTTTAAACGACGAAACGCAGTTGATTTGTTGACGTTCAATTCACTGGCAACCTCTTCCGTCGAAATACGTGAGTTATTCGCAACTAAAGTCCTTAGAACATCGTCATCAAGCTCAGAAGGCCGTCCACTGCGAGGTTGATCTTCGAGGTTAAAATCTCCAGAACGAAATTTCGCGAACCATTTCTTTACTGTGCGGAGTGCTGGAGCACGGTCCAGATAAACTTCGCGAATATATTTAGCTGCAGCGCCTACTCAGCTACAACTCAAAACAAAATGAAGTTATTTTATGCTTGATTTACTGTTCGGACTGTCACCTTTCCAACGATATATAATATGTATATATTTCTTTCACGAGCGCCACTCTCAAACGATTCGAACGGCATCCAGCGGAATCGGGCACGAACTTATGCACTCATCCAATATCTTGTACCATTGCGAGTTTCACTGTATTGACATCCAGCACACATGGCATGAACCAGTTCTCTCCTATGCGTAAGACATTTTCGACATTTTGTATTCAATCTCTTAAGAGCTACCCACCCAGTCGCTGTTAGGAAAATATCGTCACAATTTGTGCCAATTAGATGCCGATCAGCGTACTTACTGTGAGGCACCATAGCAGTGGAGATAAGACTTACCCTTGATGGGTAACTCTTATGGTACTCCTGCATTGCCCATCTCAGCAAAATTAATCCTTTTCCTCGGGAGAGCTTTCACGTGCCTGACATCTTGCTGTTCAAAATCCTTTTCCTGGAGAGCTTCATTATGGCCTCGGGAGTTATTTTTGTTTAAGGTTCCTTCAATGGCTTAGAAAACGCCAAGTGTGTACTCTTTTACAGCCACTTTTTTCTCGTTATGTCCAACTACAGGGTGCACCATCTTTTATGTCGGTGTGTAAACATTGAATAACTTTGAGAATAAACAACCAATTTCTATACGTTTTCTTCTGCCTTTGCTATTACCTTTCCGAGCGTCGATTTCAGCACGAATTCTTGCCTTGAGCTCATTAATAGTTCGAGTCTGTTTAGCGTAAGCCCCTTAAAAATAATTCCGGGGGGTTAAATCAGGTGATCTGTCTGTTGTAAACTATAACTATTTCATCAATCGAGTATAAAATCGCTCTCTCGTTGAAAAATGTCGTGTCTAAATGAGAAGAAATTGGGACAAATAGAGCTTCCACCATTTTTTTTAAATGATCTACCGATAAATTAACGATGATGAGGCCATGCAGAGAAGCTACATGAAGAACTCTTCAAATATTTAAAATATAAATACACACACATATATTATCCAAATGCTACTTTGCCATCTGTCAGTTCAGCCGAAAATTTCGCCACGCATTTGGCAAATGCATTTTCTACTTAAAAGTGATTTTGAAGTGATTTTTTTGTCGCAATAATGTTGCTCAACAACAGTCAACTATCGTCTTGCGCGGTTGCAATTTGTAAGCCGCCAGCTCGAAACTTTGCATTACAAATCCGCCAACTTTACTGCAGCTTTCAGCTCATTTCGATTATTTATTATACGTACGACATTCACAACCTTCATACTTCTGTTGTATGCTCTAATGTCTACCTTCTGACTGCTAGCAGCTGACTTTGATGCCAACTTTTCTAAAAGTATAACCCGCTGTTGCCCTACTCACTGTTTAGTTTGACAAAATTCTACGCTTTGGTATTGAAAGTTTTTTCAAGTGACTTACGAGGCTTTCAAATAAAAATAAAAAATTATTCGAAAGCTTTTACTTTTCCTTGTACTTGGCTGGCAGTTTAACAACACACGCTGATCATCAGTGAGTTGAATAGTTGAGAAATTGTAATTTGTTCATATTGTAGTGAGGAAATGGTAAACAGATGTATGTGTATGTGTATGTGTGGGTCTGCGTATATTATGTTTGAGTGCATGGCTTGTTGGTTGCTCATACGCCGTGACGCACAAGCCAAAATAGTTTTATTTTGCTAAAGTTTCACATAACAAATGCATTGAAAAGTGAAATTTAATTTCGATTTTGAAAGTGAAATCAGAAATGAAATGTATTCGACTCGACATGTTTTGTTAGGTTGATTTACAGTGAAATGCTCATTAATTTAATTGTTTGTAAGCTATTGCATACATAATTATTTATTACCATCGTTTTTCAGTTCGGTTTAATCCTTTCGAATGTGTGAGCATTTTATATTAATTCAAATTATGAGGAAAAATATGAAAATTCATAAAGCGCATATTGTATGTATGCATTCGTGTGCTTTTTATTTTAATTCTTGCGTATGTGCGAAAAGTTTAAATTTATTCAAATTACAGGGAATAATATGAAAAATACATGTGTGCATTCAATTCGTTTGCGGAAAATTTTGTAAACTCAAAAAAAAAAAAAAAAAAAATGCTTTGAATTTAAATTGTTATAAATTATTCAGCGCAGGGAAATTTGCCATACAATATAATTTTTTCATCGTGCTTTCAGTTGATAAACTTTTATTTACCAGCGAATTGTTGTGAAAAAATTTGAGGATATTGAATTTTCATTTATTGTGTGCATAACTAAGGCATTTTTATAAATGTGGTTGAATAAAAATAAGTGAGCTAGAGGTAAGTTCAGGCAAATAATGGTAACAGTTTCGGTTCTCTGCCAAGCATTTTGAGCTAAAAATTAGCCTGAACACGTCTCTATTATTTTGACCATCAAATAAAGGGTTGGATATTAGGCGGCCGCGGAAGCCGAGCGGCTAGTGTCCTGCCATTCGGAAGGATTTTCTAATTGTGGTCGGCCCTCGGCAGAGAATGTCAACCCCTCCGAGTGTATTTGTGACATGAAATAGAACTCCTTATAAGCCGTTCGGAGGCGGCTTAGTGTAAGCTGTAGGTCCCTCCAATTGTTGAAAAAACATCAAGACGTAAAACCACATAGTGAGGGAGGTGCTCGGCCGAAATTGGAAAAAAATTACGATCACTTTCAAATCCTTGGTGTTTATGATGCCAAGCTGATAAATACAGGGTTGCGAATTTTGCGGTTTCGAAAAAGTCCGAGCTCGAGTCCGAAAAGTTGGTTTTCATGAAAGTCCTTTTTTTTTATAAATTGTGAAACTTGGTCTTTTATATCATTCAAATCATCGTTAAGCAAATTTTGCAAACTTCAATCCGTTTGAGGTATTTTTCGACCATATTCGGCGGTGCCCAATTGACATCGGCAAGATAAGAGATTACGCGGCTATGAAGTTGCAAAAAACCATATTCGTTGGAGGTGTGTACCCTTTTTGTTGAAACTACGAATTTTCTAAGTCGTGCTGTTTAAGTTCGAGCCAAAAAACTCGGTTATCAGACGACCATAATGCTTCGAATCGATAGTAACAGTTTTCTCATTGTCATTTTTTCAAAAAAAGGAAGGTCCAATCACATCTCCTGAGCAAAGGGCGGAACAGACTGTAGTTTTTTGAGCGTAAGGACCTTTCTTCAATTATGCGAGGATTCCGCGAGCTTCAAATGTGACAAATTTTACTTATTTGGATTTACTGCGAGTGTGAAGTATGCTTCGTCATTCAAAAAAATTTTATTCATAAATTCGTCGTTCACTGTTTGTTGATCGAGCACCCAATCGACGTATGCACGGAATTATGAATGGTCAGTTGGCTCAGGTTGTTGTGCGAGCTGGACTTTATATGGATTTTAGGTTCAAGTCCAAGTGCAGAGTCACAGCTATGCTTACATTCTTCGCTGTTCAGTGCCAATTGCAAACACCAAGTGAAACCAGGTCACTTTCCATATGACTAAGACTTTCCGAATGAAGGTGGTCCTGTTCCTGCATGTACTGCCTGTTTCCTGTTTCAAAGCAGAACTGCTGTCGGTAAAATGGACCATATGAATTAGCCAGTCCAGATGCTAAACTAACTCTCTATAAAATCTTTCTCCCGAAAACTCCCAAAGCGGACTCCTCGGTTGTTGTCGAAGTTTACGTTTCTGCACAATAGAGTCGGATGGGATTGATGAGCGATTTGTAGAATTCGACCTCTGTTTATCGAGAGAAGACTATACGATTCAATTGTCTCTGCCGTATAAAGTAGCAACCGTTAGCAAAAAGACTTCATAATTTGGCTGGAGTTAGACTGAAAACGGACGACTAAGAGTTGCTTAAAAAATTTACCAAAATTTAATAAAAAATAATTTTCTAAAATTTTTTTCTGTAATAATAACAAAAAATCAAAACTTTTTGCCGGAAAGAAGATTACGAAAAATTACGAGCAGTTAAGAGAAAGCGAGTAAAAGTATTTCTTATCCCTCAATCGCTTTAATCGCCATTTGCTGTTTTTCGCTTTGTGCTTGCTTTAATCTGGCTATCATTTGCTTTGTTTTTATGCTTTCCTTTTTAGGCTATAAATTTCGCAAATTCTCCAAAGAGTAATCAGAAGCCATATTTAACCATACAAGAACAACAAAAGCAACAGCAGCAACAAAAAGAACACCAGCAACAACATCAACAACAACAAGAATCACAACATCATAAAGGCCGACAGGCAAACAAGCGTTCAGTATTGGCCACAGAGGTGGCGACAGCGACAGTGAGAACACGCCAAAAACGTTCCCAACATGCTTTTGCCACGGTAGAGGAGTATTTGAAGAGCAGCTTGCCAACATACACTTACAATCTGGCATTGCTCAATGTAATGAACAGTTTAAGGAGTGAGTATAGCCATTGAGTATACTATTTACATAGATATATATATATTTAAATATAAATATAAATATATGTACGAGGGTTGTTAGATGTAATAATTATTGATTATCAATTGTAATATTATAATATAGAGTTTGACAGCGACCTCTTTTGAATGGAATTTTCAGATGGTTCTAATAAGATTTTCTGTAACAACAGAGGTTAGCAGGAATTTCAAGTCCTCCGAGTATATTTCTGACATTAAAATCAAAAGCCCCTCATAAAAATTTGTTGACTGTTTGGAGGCAGCTAGGAATGATTTGTAGGTCCCTCATTTGTTGGTGAAACATCGAGATGCACACCTCATATGGGAGGAAGAACTCGGCTTTAAAAGGCTTTAGTGGCTAGAAAGCGCATTGCGTACTACCATTCGCAAAGCCAGGGCTCACATCCTGGTACGACCAATACCCAAAAGTTATAGAAACTTAATTAAAATAAAAAATTAAGTTGAATTTTCTAATTGCGGGAATGCCCAGCGTAGTTCTGTCATTTAATAAAGTTCCTCATAAGAAATCAACAGCCGTTCCGGAGGTAGCTTAGTTTAACCTGTAGGTCCTTCTATTTTTTGGAAAAACATCAAGGAGGAGGAGCTCGGCCGAAAATCGCTTCAGCGGTTACATAGAAATGTTTTTAAACCAAAAGCAGTATTTCTTTTAAGCAAACAATAATTTTTTTTTAATAGATCGGTTCCGGGAATAAAAATATTTCACATGTCAATTTAGGCCAAAAGCTACATATAAACCAAATTTCATGAAAATCTAAAAAAAAACGATTTTTGGAATGGTCCACATCCTGGAAAAGCCTTTCTTATCGGATACCTACGTCATACGGCTTATAAATAAATTCAAAATCATTAATCATCGCTCGGTAGCGCAATCCATTCACTGTAATTGTCGCTTCATCCTCATTTTCGAAAAAGTGAGGTTCACAGACCGCGCCGATATATAAATCACACCAGACAGTTACAAGTTGAGAAGGCAGAGGCTTTCCAACAACAAATCTTAACTTTACCGAGCCCCAAATGCCAAAGTTTTGCTTATTGACTTAACCACCGAGGTGGAAACGGGCCTCTTCATTCAATATGATTTTCGTTGAAATTCCGCATAATTTTTGTACTTTTCAAGGAACCAATCAGAAAGGACGTGACGTTGGTGATAATGGGCCGGTTTGAGTTCTTGTGATAACTGAACTTTATGTAGATTACACCCAATTTCATGGATTGATGAGACGAGTTGAGTTGGTATGTCTGTTTTCCATCCATTTGTGTGCACGGTACCTGAATTAAGGATTCAGATATTTTAATGAAATCACATATGGTTCACACATTGTTTGGGTCACATGTACGAACGTTATTATAAATCATCGAAACCCCACCAAGTTCATGTCCATCATACAACAGTGATTTTGTGTAGCAAAAAATCGCGATAATTCAGTATCAAAATGTGCGATTAAAGTCATATTTGCTAAGGACTATTGTATGCCGAAAAATGTGAGAGGCGGAAAAAATTTTCAGGTGGTCACTTTTGGCTCAGAAAGCACCTACTCGTGCTATTGTTAAAGTCCTGCCATGTATGGCCGATCAAGGCCCATTTATGCATCAATCTTCTATTATGACCCATCTGAGAAGTTGGAATGGAATATTGGAACTTATCGACAAAACTTGATATTATCTAATAATCGTTTCAATAACCGAAACGCTTTATCTAGTGCCAATGATTTGCTCACTGTATATGACAATTGAGAACCGTTGTTTGTCTGTAGAAATACGAAAGATACGCTCTGAATTGTGGGAAAATAATTCGTGACTTTGGAATTACAATAATGCAATATTTCTTGTTCGTACTTTGGACGAAAAACCCCAAAATCAATCCTCAGCCGTTTGGACCCCCCGAATTTTTCCTTTACCCAAGATTAAATCGACATATTATAGAATCACGTTTGGCAAAGTTGGTCGCAGAAGAGCCGTGTGGTTAGCGGCACATACTGTCATGCAGAGAGCCCCGCGAGCGAACCCTAGCCAGATTGTTATCTGAAGGTGTAAAAAATTAATCTTTCTAGTTGCTGTCGCCTTTATGAAGGAAATGCTAGCCCTTCTTTTGAATACTTTTTCGAAAAAATTAGAACTCAACTTATTTTTGGAACACACCTCGTGTAATTATGTTACTTCTTATGTAACTCTCACTCAAACACCACCTTTGCATTTGACGCTGCCTTCGAAGGCCAACATTTTACTAAGATATACCGAAGTACATTGTGAAGAATTCAAGTTTTGAACTTTGAACTTATAGTAGATGGATCTCTACCACCGTAGTACGCATTACTATGGATCCTTTTTCCGTGTCGGTATGTTTCTATCTTGCTCTTAAAAAAACAAAAGTTTCTTGGGCTGTTGGCCGTAGGAAGCTTTAAATGCCGTTCCAATGCTCCCTAAGGTCGAGTTGTTGATGAGTGCCCTCAGCGAGCAGAAGTGCAAGTCGATTTTAAAATCGTTCAATTTTCTGTTGCCGTTACATTTTCGACTCCCTACTTACCTAACCTGTTTTTGTTGCAGGACGTTCTTTGTAGGAAAGAGGACGTTCTCTAGGTTGCGACAAGATAGCGGTGCGTGTCGATATCTGAACATCGGAACGTTTGCAAGCCTAGAGCGCTGGATACGCCTTCCATCAATCTCAACATGGTCAATTTAATTACGAGTTCTTCGATCCGGATACAGACATGTATGTAGTACAAGGAATTCTCTTATTTGGGAATCCATTATTTAATACGACCATATGTTGGGTTCCTGCGAGTTCATTTAGCCTCAACCTATTTTGTGGTTGTTCCCTCGTAGGGGTTGAGTTTTCCGAGAGAGTTGTGCCGAAGATCCCTTTGCTGAGAACCCTTGCGTTAAAATCGCCAAGCACGATTTTGACATGCTCGTGCAGTGACAGTGTTCGTAGGTAAGTTCAAGGGGTATTTTTTTTCAAATCTCGCTTTAATGCGATTTGAACTCTACATCTCCCTCTCTGAGTTTCTCTCCTACCAAAAAAATTCAATACCAAATTGTAGTATGTGTCTCAAAGACCTATTCTTTTATGCCCCTGTATCTTCCATTGCGTTGGTGATATCAGCATTGGTTTTATCAAGGTCCCACTTAAGGGACCGAACAGTCGCGGCGCGTGACTTCTGATCTTAATTTTTCCGTGCTTGTTACGAGAATGGGATATCTCTCAGCATAAGCTGCTTTCTACAAAACCACTCTCCAACCGCGGAGAGTAAGTGAGCACATACGCATATAGGGAGCCGCTTGCATTAAGACTTATGCCCTCTCTCAGATGCTCTAAGACTTTGGTGAGTCCTAAATAAGTAGATTAAAGTTAATATCCTTTTGGGACCCAAGAATCATCAAGAATTGGCTACCACGTTTATCACGCGGGTTGTTCACATTTCCAGTGTGGGCGACGACGACCCGGAGGCACGACTACACACCACTTTACTTAGCTCTGTGCATGTTTATTTTACCCATAAACGGCTCCATGCCATTAAAGCCCGAACTAAATAAGTATTGCTCAGTTCAGTGTCTAAGGCAAATATTTTTGTATGCAATGAAAACAAACCTTCACTCATTTGACTGCTATGAATATGCGTGTAGTATTCTAAAAAAAATAACCGGACACACCTACATACATTTCACAATTTTTTTTTCTGCAGGACAACTCTCCAACATTGAGTTGGCGCGTTTGCGTTCACGCCTCAGCCATAGTGCAGCAGCTGATTTGCGATTATACAATGATATCTACAACCACAACCATAACTATAATAACAACAACTACGATGTCGATTCCGCTTTGCTGAATGTAGGTGATTTGGGCACTAACAACAACGACAACAGAGATGCCGGTACCGTCAGTCTTTTCGGCACTGACACTGGCAATGGCGGATTGCTTGGAGGCGTTGGCAATGGAGATGCAGGTGGTGTCAGTGTCGGTGTCGATGTCGCTGCTGGTGCTGGTGCTGGTGCTGGTGCCGGTAATGACATGCTTGCCAATGACATTGAGGATTCGAGTAGCGTGCCTTGGCAATTCGTGACGCGAGTCAGCAAAAAATCCTCAGCACTCTATAAACCACGTTTGGGCAAGCGTACACGACAACAACAACAGCAACAACATGAACAACAACAACAACTACAGTAGACACATACAATTGATGCGTTTGGCAGTGAAGGGCGCGAGGTATGCTGGTTGCGTGCGGAGGAAATGCATTGCAATCAGTTATGAGCAGGTGACGTTCGCTTGTGTTTTTCTGTTTGTTTGTCTAGCTTTGAGCGTCAGGAAAAGAGGACGAGGAGAGTGTTTCAATTGCTGAAATGGACTGGGCGAGTTGCTGTGCTATGTGGGTCAGTATAAATGATTCTGTCACGCACAGAGTGAGCAACAAAATAAAAACAAAATTTGAAAAAAAAACAAAAAAAAAATTTTGCAACTCCAGCGGCAACTACAATACAAATACTGTTATGTACTATATTTTTTGTGTAATCTATGGCGCATGTACCGTTAAAAACAATTGCGTAATGAACAAATTGAGCAATTAACAGAAATTAAATTAAAAATACATGAAAATAATTGTAATAATTGAGAGGAAAATCATTTGTTATTTTTTAAACAAATATTTATGTGGTTACAAATTAGTTTATTTAATAATTGAAATTGTGGTCAATACAATTTTTTGGCCCAACACAATTCATATAAAATATTTATAAACTACAATAGTAAAATGTATTTAATAAAATATACTATGAAATTTAAATTAATTGTATTTTGAATATTGTTTCCTTATTACAAGAGATTGCTCGCGACATCGTCCGCATGGAATTCTGAGATAAGTACAGTTGATTTGCCGTTACCACTGCACTTCGGCCAACAGGCCCATTGTCATACCGCTGTGAGGCTCTCTCCACCTTCCCTAATCTTCGAACCCTTTCGTGTCCCTCATAGAAGCAACGAGATTGCCAATTTAAGCTGAAGCTAGCTCAGCTAGACAGTCGAAGAAATGTGGAACTTTTATCGCGGAGATCTCAAGGCTGAACAGTGACAGAGTTAGTGTTCAATAGACTCTTCCTCTTCATCGTCCCTACAGTTGCGGCAAAATTAAGGTAGTGGTAGGCAATTTTTGTTCCGTGCCGCCCATTAACCAGTGATCTGTTATTATGAAATTCGTTATGTTGTTGGAGAACTGGTTCTGATTTTGTCGCATCTCGTCAAGTAGCGTGCTCTCATTCAGCCACCTTGAGTTTACTTCCTTGGCAAATAGTGCATAAAATATCCTTTCCCGTGGCCAAATCCATATCGTGTGCTAGTTTTATTTGAAAATATTCGTTCCTTCTTTCGCTGGTTCGTTTGCCATGCGATTGCCTGGGATGGCACGGAAGTGTTGCATGTAGTCGAAAGATTGTTCATATTGCTGCTACATTTTATAGTCACCTTTGATGTGGTACTGTTATATTGTAAAGATCTGATGGTAGCTTGTCAGTGGGAATATATTCATCATAATCGATTGTCCTGCTGCCCGAGATTTGAGCAGCCCCACGGCGCCCTTTACGATCGCAAATATTTCTTCTGGGAAGACGATGCAGTGGTCTGATAGCCTCCGCAGTCCACGTTTCCAGCTATCTTTGAGCCATCTGTTAACATGGCTATGGATCTGTGATCTAGGACGCTGGTGTTTTCCTACTCTTTCTGTTTGGGATTCTCGTGGAGAAAAGATTGTTGGAGCTTATACGCAAGGTGGCGTCATCCATCTCCTTCGGCACTTCAGCGAGTGATAATATTTTCGTGTGCCCTATACTGTAATTGTACTAAAGTTGAGTTGCAATCAATCTAATTGAGTTACAGCGCACTTGTAATTTCCCGTATAGATCCAGGGGAAAGAAGTTGAGAAGAGCTAGTCTTTGAGAGATTGAAGGCAGTGCTTCTGTCACCAAGATAGCAGCCGTCCATTGAATTTCTTCGATCGAGTTCATAGAATAACTTACTTTAAAACAGTTTTCAGATAAATTAAATCGGATAGATCAAGGTCAGGGCTTGAAGTGAGATCGGAAAATATGGTTTTGAAGAAATCGCGCTCAAAGTTTTTAGGAAGTTTGCGTACCTGCCTGAGATAGGTGCGTTCGAGAAGCTGCATTTGAAAAATATTCATTGTATTGCAAAATCCTTTTAAATACATAAAAAATAGATTTTTTTTTATCTAAAATCAGGTGAGAATCAAAAGGAGGCCTATTTCACTTACAATGGACCTTTTTTTGATCCCTAATCTTAAATGAATGGATAGACAATAAAATGCATTTAAAATATTTTTTTTGTAAAATACTTATTTTTTATTATAAAGTTCGAATCATGGCACTATATCTGTGTGAGATAATTTTCGACCAATTTTGAGCACATTATTGGGCGGCATATCAGCCATTACTTGACAAATATTGATTTTCAAGTGCTCAATAGTTAAAGGTTTATCCAAATAAAAACGATCTGTCGCGATCTCGTTAGCCAATTGACATCGCCAAGACGAGAGATTACTCGAGCGAGAGCCTGATTAGCTCGTGTTGTGTGGTATGTGGTACCATCTCTTTGAAACCAAATATTGACCAATTGTCTAAGTTGTGTTCTTCAATTGCAGACTGAACAAAGTCAGTTATCAAACGACCATAATGCTCATTATTAAATATGTAAGGACCAATCACACCACCGAACCAAAAAGACATAAAGAAGAAATTATTTGCGGATTCTTTAAGCATCAATTGTTTCACCAATATGGTTCTCGACATGAAATCTCAATTTGATTGCAGCTGAATTACATGACTTTTAGTCGTTTGATATTTGCGTCACTATATCTATGTACACATATCAATAAAATTCTTAATTCATTTCAGAAGAGATGTTTCTGGTCCTAAAATCCACTAGGAAAATACACTGCTTAAATACTCTATGCGTTGCAGAATTCGCTTTTGCTTCAATAATTAGTACTTACATTTTGGGTCCAAGTTTTATTCTGAAAATATAAAAATATATGTCAAAAATATGTAAAAAATATATTTATTTAAATGTCACAAATTTATAAATTTTTGTAATAATTTTTATATTATGCCCAGACTTCGAAAATTCTGCCTATTCCTTAATGAAGCTAGAAGATTTTCTATGAATTAATTATCAATTGAATTTGATTGGCGCAATTGTACTAGCCTAACAAGGGTCGAACTGGGTTAATACTATTAAGAAAGAAAAGGTTAAAAAATATCTAGTTTTTCCACTTGAACGTCAAAAATGTAAGGTGCCTTAAAAATAATAAATTACTACGTTTGACTATATATATACAGCTATGTACTATTATTACATAGCAATTTGTGCTGAATTCTACTAAAGTCATACCAACAATACTACCCTACAAACATTTGTAAGCCATATGTTCCATTAGAGTAGTCCAATAGATAACCCTCTGTAGTGCACTATTGGTCCAACACACATCTTGCTATCAGTTTGTTGCTGTTAGCCGATGATTGTTCGTGTTTCACGATCGCAATAAGTGAACAACGTTGCAAGCGCAAAATGAAATTTAAAATTTTATGCTTTGTATAGATTTGTATTCGAAACTAAAAAGCATGTTCGAATGTGGAGTAGTTTCAAAACTAATTTCCTGTATATACTCCATGCTTTACTCGAATGTTACGCAAGAACGGAGGATATGATCCAGAAATGTTAAATGGACATATTTTATTGTGCCCTGTGATTAGTTTTGATTTTGTTTGTAGGAAATCGCTACGCATATACGCCCGAGACGATTGACGCCTTGCAATATAATATTCGGCACGTTATTGCAGAAATACCGCTCCAAGTGCTGGAAAAAAATGATAGAAAATTGGTACTCTCTGCTGGAATTTATTCGAGATAGCCGAGGCGCTTGCTGGCCCAAAATCAATCTTATAACATAATGACAAATGCTGGTTTTTAAAGCTAAATTCTTGGCCGAAGCATTATTTTATTATTTTTATTATTTAATTTCCTCTTGAAAATTTTGAAAATCACTAGTTTAAAAGAATATCCTTTACTATTACTGTTACCCTGCAGGGAAGGCAACTATTTGTCAACTAGTATCCAACTAGTTTACATTTTTACACCATTTTTATTAGCACAACTTTCACCTATTTTCAATGTCAGGTGCTGAGTTATTTGAACATGGCGATGGCCTACAAACGAGTAATTAAGAGTCAATGCATCAGGCTCATACTAGTTTAATACCAGTTCAGAAACACCACTTAAAATACTGGTTCGTTCATATCAGCTGATAACTAGTCCATTCACGGCAAGCTGCCTAGGGGCCAACTATTTTGAAAAAAAAAAACGCGTTTATGGTTCACATTAATGGAAATTTGGTATATTATTTCTTTCGGAAAGTAGATCAGATATTAATCTATGTATTAGAAGCTTAATTAGGATTTTTCATTATTTTCTTTTTACATTTGAACAAAATTTAAAAAATAGCAAAAATTTGTGGTTCTTGTTGTTGCTGTTGTAGCGGTAAGCCTAATTATGCATTTTCGGAGCTTTTAGTTACATATGTGTCCTGCTCTCTTTATAAAGCGACAAAATGGTATGAGCTCGTCCGCAAAATACTAGTTCATACACATACTAGTATATTTTTTCCTCTGCAGGGTACAACAACTACTTTTCAGTTTGCCTACGCTGCCTGAATATTAAGATATATTTATGTAATAATATTTGCCAATACAATTTTATGCCTGCTTTTGTGATAATAAAAAAATGCTGGTTGAGGAATTACAGCTACATATTCGTATATATAAAACGAAATGCCCAAAGATGTAAGATTTACCGCAGATTAGTAAAATAAAAAGTTTAGTGGCTAACCAAACAGAGCCAAAGTATTAAAGTGAAAACTCGCAAATTATGTGTAGAAGAAGAGAATAAGAAATTCGCATGTGTGAAATTCATTAGCGAAAGTATTAAATCAATATATGTATATATACGATGATATATATACAATATGAAAAACTGGAAATTCGTGTTGATTGAGAGCACATATATGCTTATACCATATATGTACATATATACTCGTATATGTACCTGTATATGAGTATGAATTGGTAAAGTATCATTTTGGCACGAGTCTCATTACTTGTGTAAGTCTACATGGAAGTGTGAAAAATAAAGGTTACTTTCTTTCAATTCCATAAATAATAAGATTTTTTTCATGATTGGGTATACATGCAACTTTGAACTTGATCAACGTCGTAGCACTTAAATTGATTAAATATATTTCACACTAACTTTATTTGTGATATTTGCTGGTTGGTGCTTTAGGATAGACGGGAAATATTATTTTGTTCTCGGCTGTCCTTCGAAAAGGTTGAAGAGGAAGAAGACAGCATAATTTTGATGTTTTGTATTCGATGAATA